GTCAATAGCTCATTGGAGAAAAACACCAAAATGGGCTCAGCTGAAACAAACGTCATATATTTAAATGTCAAAATGGTTGGATAAAATTGAAATACTATGGCATAAAAAACTGTTTGATCAAACAAAATCACAGTTGTTTCACCACTCACTCTGCTATGCCAGCAGTGAACAGTTCTTTGCAATTCTTTTAAATAAAGAAGCTTCCCAAAAACACACGCTGAAGCCCTCCTGCAGCAGGACCAACAGGAATACCTTGGCTTTCAGCACCATCTAGACATTAACAGCTCCCAGACATATATTTCCAGTCGCAGGTGAGCGTAAGCAAAACAAAGGGGTTTCTACAGAGGCATTTTGCACTCCTGTGAGCCTTTTAAAGGCACATTCTCAAAAGCAGTAGCAAAATCAAAAGCTCCTTAACATCACTGTCATCCTTGAAATGAGGCGTTACTTGTGACACAGAGTATGGGAATGGGTCACAAGGGCCTGCCTGGCCAAACTTACCACGTTGATCTCCTTTTTTTTTTTCTCCTTCCCCAATTTCCCTTATCCAAACTGAGCAAATCATTTGCAAGCTCTTCTTCCACAGACATATTTTCTAGGGTCCTTACTTTTTCGAGTTCACTCCTGTGCTCGTTTTCCAGTTTGCTTGGATGAGCAGGACCCTAAAAGACAAGAGCAAATTATTTACCTAAAAAACTATATTAGTTTTAAAATATCTGAAACTATTCGTCTTTTCCACAGAAACTTTTTTTTTTTTTTTTCCAGATTTCTGCATGGAGCTCATCTGCTCTCTAGTGGTTGTGCTCTAGGATTTCAGGTGTTTTCTAGCAGCCTAAGCTCCATATTCCCTCCTCCTCCTGCCAGCACAGTTCACTCCCAGGGAAAGCTGCTGCTTCAAGTATGAACTTTTTTTTTTCCCTCGCACATAAAAATTATTGCTTAGGTTTGATCTCCGAACCAGCACGCAGGATAGTTTCATGAAACAGGATTTGAAGACAGGATCTCAGACCATTCATTCACACCATTTCTCTCAGAGGCTGCTGAGCTCTCCCTCGGCTGCTCTTCTCAGGAGGGTGGCACGTACAGAGCCCATGAGCAGCCTACCCGGTGCTCAGCGGCACCGTCTGGATCTCCTGTTACTGCACAGACATTGCAAAGTGATGGTAAACACTGCCCTGCGGGATCGGAGGGAAAAATCCCTAGGGACGTTTCAGGAGTAGGAAGTGGGGCTTAGTGATTATTAAAGACAGCAAGGAATATATGCCAATACTAGGAAAATATTTACATGACATAAAGATGAAAATGTTCTTACCGTGTTTTATAGGCACATATGTAGCTTAAAAGAGAAAATGCAGGTTGGCAATGATAAATACTCCCAAGATAAAAATAAACTTGAAAAAAAAAAAAAAACTTGGTCAGGACTATAGGAAAAAGGTGTCATGAAAATCTACTTTGCTTTGGGCTGGAGATGAACATGAAGACCAAGTTCATATTCAGACATCATTTCTTTTTACTTGGCTCTAGACAACTTGACCTGAAGACTGAGGTCTTACAGGAGAAATAACCTATTCTGAGCAAGCGCTTGATCCCGCTTTGATCAAGGTGCTAGTGGACAGGAGAGGCGGGAGGGCCTGGGAAGTCCTGCGGCTCCCTGGGCGCGGCACAACGTGGCCACTGTGAGTTTCTCTCCCGCACTGCCCCAAGGGGCTGTGCGCTCTCACATGCTCCTCAGCTTCCCAAATACTCCTTCCAAACCATTGCCAGGCTGAAAAAGCTCTTGCGCTGGCAGCTGTTATTCATAGAGACACGTTTTTATGTCAAGATTGTGCCACTGCAGGTATCAAATAGACGTAATTATTTCAGAAGGCAGAAAATATCTCACAGAGGTATGCACCTGGCAACCGTTGAAACATCCACATTTTCCAAAGAATTTGGAAATCTAGAAGAAATCTGGAAATCTAAATCGAAGTTTCATGGAAGATTTCCCTCTGAGGCATATAACAAATTCAATTACAGAACAGAGGTATATTGTCAAGCCAACTCCTTCCTTTCTCATTTCTGTCCTTCCTTGCAATATAAAATGGAACTACTAAGCTCCAAAGCATGTGATCCTTCCCAGTCATGAGAATTGCAATAGCTGGATCTAAGCAGGGAGTCGGGATCGACACCTCCAAAATGTATCACCCGAGTCAACCAAGCAAAATGCAAACAACCAAATTCCTGCACACAGCCTGTCAAACCTGGCGTGCTTCTACACGAGCTCTCTGAGGCCTTGTCTGCTGCTTGTGGTTCACACTACCACCCTGCACTCATTCTGTCTCCCTCTCTAAAAATCAGGTGTTACTGCTTTCTTAACATCCTTCTTTACTCTGCTATGCAGATCTGAGTAGAGATTCAGACATGGGCTTTTCCACACTTAGATACTCAACTTTCTCTCTCTTATTTTCCCCTCTTGGTGCCCATCACAGTGCCGGAGTTGCCTCTCCGTGAGCAGAGGACACGGGAGGCAACAAGGGAGCAATCTGGGAGAACAGAGAGAAGCAATAAACAGGTGGGAATATACCAGGAAAGTAACCATGGGAAGAACCGACAGAGAGAGGAAATTCTGTTCTTTTTTTCCTCCAGGAACAAGACTTCCTTCTTTGCCTAATTGCACTTCTGGGCCACAGAGAAAGACATTTAATAGCTTATTTCGTAACACCAACTCTCTGCAGTTCAGTTGGGATTGGAGGACGTGACTCACATGTGGTTATCTGCGAGCTGAGCAACATTTTCCATTGATGCACTAAAATGCATACAAGGATTAGAAATGCAATTCAAAATTGTTACATTAATGTAGCCAGAGAGCTGAAAATTCAAATGCAGAAAACTCAGAGTTACGTTTCCTCAGCAACCCTGACATGGCCACCACATCCTATGCATTTACCAAATCACACAAACGGGGCTCGAGACAAAGAGAAAGCTCGAGTGTGAGCGGGGCTGTGTAAAAGCAGGCAGGGATGTTGGCAGGGACACACAGTATAAGACCAGATCGTCCATCGTGGCATCCAAGCAAATAATCACGATGAGTTCAGTGCTGTAGACGTCCTGTGTTAGGGGCCACAAGATAGACTGTAATGGTGCCTGACTTGTTCCTCTGTCAGCGTGTAACAGTGTCAGTCTGTATTTTAATGTGGCTAGTAACTTTTATATTAATGTAAGTAAAGAGTAGTCCAATGGAAATTAGAGCTGTTACACTAGATATACCTTGGGATAGACATTCGATTCCAGAGCCACGAGGAAGGCAATGAAAACCAGTGACAGAAGGAACTGCCAGAAGTTACAGCATAGTCTTCCACTGCAAGAAGCTGTTTCTTTGCTGAAAGCCACAGTGCTTGGGGTGTTTGAGGTGTCTGCCACGTAGCCTTGTCTTCACCACTGCTGCTGCTGCACCATCAGAACAGCTGCTCCGTCAGGCTCCTGTCACACATCCATTTAATCTTATTTCTTCTCCAGACCTAGATTTAAAATGAAGAGGTGGAGATGTTTCTGTAATGCCCTGTATGCAGCCCAGTGCAGATAAGAGCCAATAAACCCCAGCTCAATGGTGCACTTGATAAACCAGTGCTGTGGTCAGAGCAGCTGGAACAGCAGTTCAGTTTCGGAGAGTTTGGCCTACCTTGCTGCCATCATTTCCCAAAGTATTTATCGAAGAAGGGAAGCTATGTTAAATCAGATGCAGCCCGTGAATTCCCAAAGGAAGCCGCACATGGTTGGCACTACTGAGCCCTCCAGCTCAGCCAGAGCCCTCTGCAGTGGACGTGGGCCCAACGCTCACACGTCTTCGATGACGCAGAGCAAGGTGAGGCATTCCCTCAGGAAGAGGAGACTGCCTTTCCAGAACGATGCTCTGTTCTCTCCAGTACGGGCAGCTCGCAAGGTGCCGCGCTCTGCCCTCTGCTCTGGTGCTGATGGGAGCAGGAACCCCGGCAGGACGCGGGAGCAGGCTGCTCTTCTGCAAAAACTGGCAAGTCTGGAATTGCTTCATGCTGCCTCACTAGGGCCTCACCGAAGCAAGGGGGCAGGAACCCGCAGAGGCTCCTCACCATGTGCTGCAGCAATACTGTGCTCCTGCAGGTTCATTTTCAAAGGATTACAGTCCCCGTTAGAGGCAGCTGAGAAATGGAGCTGGAGGGAGGAAAAAGGACAGTGCATTTTCTATCTACGCTTGATTTTTAATTCACTTTCTCGATTTTTAATTTGCGTGATTTTTAATTTCACTGAGAGGTGGTCATCACTCTAAATTTGAAGTCTGGCTGTGTTCAAATTCCTGATTCATTCATAGCTTTTATGTTCAACACCAACAAGAATCTTTCATGTTCTGTATATATAAAATACTGCAGAGCTTGCTCCTCAGCGTTTGCAGGGGAGTTTGGAAGCCCACTGCATGAACTGTGTCAGGTTCCAATGCAGCAAGCTCATGTGACACTCCAGGCAGTGCGATGTGGTGAAGAAATTTCTCTTGAGTCAACTTTTCCACAGTTTGGGGCAACTTCCTGGGCAAGACTTGCACAGATGAAGAGACCACTGCAGCTAATATGTCATTATTTTTGTACTGGATCTGGCATACAGATACGCAAAGGCCTGTTCTGATATAGTTACCAGCAAAAAAGGGTCTGCAGGAGCTTACTTGGACGTAGCAGGCGGAGCGTTTTCAACAGTTTGCTCTGCTTCCTTGTTTACTTATTTATATGCAGACAAAGGAAGTGGTGAGGCTGCCTAGCTACAGCTTTTCTGAGAAGAGACCATTTTGTGACAGGGGAAGCAGTTTGTCTCCTGGATGTGCTAACAACGTGATTCTGAAATAAGAAGACCACTGAAGAGTAAGAGCTGGACATTCATCAGGCAAAGGGATTCCTGCCCGGGCTGGAGGCCATCGCGCACAGGGGACCAACCTCTGGCTCCTCCATCGGCACCGCTGCCATGAGCATTTCCTAGCTGCCTGGAAGAGAAAACCCGCCATGGATCTGAGAAACGTTCCCTATCGCTCAGAGGTGGTTGCGTGGAGCCCAGATGAGCTAGCAGAATATTTCAAGATGGTGAGTTCAGCTGTGCTTTGGCTTTGTGTGACAGAGAGGCAAACTAGTGTGAAATGGTTGTGCTAAATATAGACGCTTAGCAGAAAAAAGTTTCTTTCAAAATTAAAACCAAAAATCACTACCAATTAAATTAAACCTGAAAGTATGTTTTAAATTAAGAGTAAGAGAAACTGATGGTTTTTCAGAGGAAATGCACACATTACTGTAACAGGTGTTGATACAACATATATTAGGAGTCCTAAAATAAATTAATATGTAAAGCTGACAAGCTTTGGAGGTTTTCCTCAAAGATTTTCAGAAATGAGATTTTTCAAACTGCTCAGGGTTTGAAAAAGAGATTCCAAATGTCTGTCCGTATCAAGACACCCGTGTGAACCCAGCCAGGCGCTTAACAGCAGTGGATACAAGAACTGCTGTTCGCTCCCTAAAAAAAAGGGCCAGTTTGAAAACCTTTTGCCTTGTGGTTCCACTTTCCTACTGAAAAACTTCCTGGGCAAAACTGGGGGCTCACGTCCTCACTGCTGCCCTGCTTGGAGAGCGCTTTTCTCGCAGGCATCGCTGCCGCTTTCCTCCCCGCGCCGGCACCTTTCCTGAAACGGCCTGTGGGAGCTGCCCGGCCCTCCTGCCCCTGCACCCGTGACCGCTGCTGCCCTCCTTGTACAGGCGGAGGATTTCCCCGCACTTCACAAACACTCTCCGAGGGAACATGGCCATTACCTCTACCCAGCAATGCTGACACTGCTGTAATGACTCCCGAATGTCTAAACTGACCCAGTTCTACTGAAATTTCATTTCTGTATGTTCTCCATAAATTCATTTTTCACTTTGCATCAGGGACAGTGCCTAGTCTGTCTGCCTCACGGTGGACCATGTTCCTCCCTAAATGCCAAACTGCCAGCTTGGAATTTAACCTTGAGATCACTCAGAAGATTTGGGCACATGCTCAAGCATGGCCAGCCTGCCTGGTTCATTTTCAAGGGAGCTACCAGATGAGTCTTGAAAAAAAAAAAAAAAAACAGGAACACTTTAGGGTTTGTTATTGAAATCATGCAAAATTAATGGTTTCAACAGTTTTCATAGAGTTTTCTTTGGGGAGTTGGGGTGAGTTTGAAACCAGAATGCAAAACCAGGCAGCAAACAGGTAAAGCACAAAGTCGGCGCTTGCCAAATCTCCAGAGATGCAAAGCGCCAGCTGTGGGCAAAGCTTTAGCTCCAAACGCAGTGGGTAGCAGCACCAAGAAGTGAGACCAGGACCTGGGGACAGAGCCCAGGAGCTTGCAAGCAACAGGCAGCTGGAGGGGAATAAGGAAACTGCTCTGGCACCCGTGCACAGGCCTCAGATCACTGTTTCCGAGACTACCAAATGAAATGGCTTCCTGAAAGAGCTGCGAATGATTTGCCTAAAAGCGAAAAGAATTAGCTGCAAAAACAGCCCCCAGGACGTGGGTTTGTGAGAACCTCCTCTCTGTTGACCCCCAGGTACCCCTCAGAACAGGGGGGCCAGGCCCAGGAAAAGCTGCTCGGAGCCTCACAGGAAATCTGCCAGACACTGATGTCAGCCTGAGGCTGACAAGTCTGGGCTAAGTGACCAGATCCTTCTCCCCAGATTAACCCACACCACCGTTAATGCATTTAATCCTTGAAGGATCTAAAAGATAAGCTGCTTTCTCACGGGGTGTTCTTTCAGTTCAAATGTAGAACTGAAGGCACCTGCTTGAAATACATAAAACTCATGTCCTTCCAAATGCAGCTACCATATTTTATTTTATTTCAGTTGAGTCCCTCAATTTACGTTTAATTTTTATCCTGGTAATACCAGGAACTTTCATGTTCCTAGATGTGTGAAAATACACTGAAGAATCTCTGTCTTAAAAGTCTGTATTTACTGACCCAGTAAACCGTTTAAACAGTCCAGGATATCAAAACACATGAATTTAAAGTATCTTAAGGGGGCTTGTGAACTGCAGGCTTGTATGCTTTTATGATAAAATCCCAATAAAAATTAAAAAATAGATTGTTCCCTAGTGTGACTGCTAGGACAGAGGTCCCTAGCTCATGGGTGTTTGTCACCCGAGGCCAGCAGGAGCATCTGCCCAAGGCTAGCCACCCAGATCAGTGTCCTCGTCTGTTCTTATAATTAAGCCTGCAATAATCATCTTGCTTTCTTTGGCAGTTAAAGTACAAGGATTGTGAGAAAGTCGTGAGGAAGCACAGCATAAATGGACAGAGGTTTTTGGTAAGTACAGTTGTTAAATTCTTTGAATCAGGTCATTGCTCTGACTCTTCCTTACTTTGCATCAGCATTCAGTTAGCAAATAACAACTCTGCCCTCCTGCCAAAGGAGAAGGGGACAAGGCCAGAATACGTGGCCTTTTGATAAAGTCGCTATTTCATGCTTCAAGTTAAAACAAGATTTCTTCTGCAGCAACACACAATGATTGAACTGTGACAGCATCAAAAACAGGAAAGGTGACAGGCATCGCTATAGGGAAGGTGACCTGCACCTCTATAGGGAAAGTGATGGGCATTGCTGTAGGGAAGGTGATGTGCATCGCTATAGGGAAGGTGACGGGCACCGCTATAGGGAAGGTGGTGGGCATGGCCCAGGCTGTGCCAGTGACTTAGCTTAACTTCAGGAGAGCTGACAATTCCTGTTTATATGGCTGCTGTTTTCCGGTCTTAAGTATACATCCATAAAGATGTATAAGTTTATCATTATTATTATTTTTAAATTTCTATTCTATTTCCATGCTTATTATTCTATTTGATTTTCCAAAAAGTCCTCATTTTGACGAGCTGCCTAAGTAATCACAGTGACTAAATCTATGCACATTCTTTTAAAGCCCTCTTTTATTTACTTGTCCTAATGCATCAAGTTTTCTGACATTTCCTAGAAATGAAGCATAAAATTTTTTCAACCCTTCTGGTTGGAACAGGTAATGCTGGGGGATTAGCTCCCCTCCTAGTGAGCGGGGTCAGGATTATTCAGGGTGTCCCAGCACTTACTGCAGTAGCCACTAAGAGATGCTCCTTAACTCAAGCTCTGACAAGCTGTGGCTGGAGGAGCAGTTCTGGCTCTGGAAACATTATGAAACCCTGGAACTGTGTGAGGTGGAAATTACAGTAACAATATCAGTGCCATTCCTAAGTGATTTTTGAATTCCTGGATTGTTTCCATGGTGTTTCTATAAACACATAACTTAGGGTGTAGTATTTCTTCAGAAATATCCTAACAAATTCAGAGGATGCTTTTCTACTAAGCAGGCAGCTGCTCAGGTCTGCTGAGACAGATGTTTTTAAGCTTTTGACCTACTTGACAATTGTGCAATGCAAAAAAGTTCACCCATGAAATAGAACAGTAGGAGAATTTAAGTGCAATACTCCAGAGCTCAAAGCAATCTCAAAAAAATAATTACTTCTCCATAAGAATGAAGTTTCTAAGAAATATCTTTTGCCATCTTTAAGCAACTGGAAACTCCCAAATCACATTTGGGCACAGTGAGCAGTGACAATGGAGGGTTTGCAGGCTTTACATCACTGTTAGGTCTGCCTGGTGAACCTGCCTGCAGAAACAGCACTGCCTTATCCCACAGAACAGCTTCCTCGTTTCAAAGGCACATTTCTGTTTCTGCTGCCTGCCACAATGGGAGGCCTGTTGAAAGGTAGTTGGAATAAAATCAGAGGGATTCCACATAACTTGATCTAATAAAATTCTCTCAGACTTAATAGAGTGATGTGGCTTTTTATGAGTGTTTAAACCCATAACATTTGTCAGGTTTATCACCAGAACAAAATTCAAGAGAGAAGTTGAAAAAGGCTTTAGAAAAAAAACAATATTCTTCAGTAAATACTGCAGGACGTTTCCATAAAAGGAGTACATTTCTACAGTGTTTTCCCAGAGGCAAAATAGCACTCAGAAACACAGCTTGGATTTGTTCTGTCCTGAAAATCAGTGATACCATTGCAAACCACTGTGTAATTAGAAACTTCATATTGCTGGTAGACAGAAAGATGCTAGGCTGTCCTCCCTGTTCCAGAGCGGGTTTGCAAAGCTGGTGTGTCACTAAACATAACTAAACAAAGCCCACGCTCAGGATTTCCACGGGGCACTGAGCCGGTGCCAGCCTGGGGCGCACAGCAGCGCAGAGCCGGAGCAGCCATCAAGCTCTCAGCGTGTCCCACGTGTCACCTCAACTTGGCACCAAGCTGCAGCGTCATTGCTGCACTATGGCCAGAAGCAGAAGAAAACGCCCATTTCTGGAAAGATTTCTTAAAAGTACTAAGTGTGTGAGCTTTTCCCTTGGTCACTTGCCCACGTTCAGCTTTGCTGGGCTGCTCTGCAGGGTGCAGGGCCTGCTCCAGCGCGAGGCTGACGCGTGGCGGGTGCTGCGGGGCTGGCGCCGCGGAGCCGTTCGGCTCGTGGTGAAGCCTCCACGCGGGAGGCTGCGCAGGGCTCTCGTCACAGCGCGCTCTGCTCCAGCGAGTCACTGTTGAAAAGCTGACAGCTTCATGCAGAAACTTTTTTTGTCATTAAGATATTGAAGTATATTATCTTGGATTTTCTGAAGCCCCTTAAATCCCAGGTTTTTAGTAGTATTAAAATGGTGTGAAACAAAAATTAGGCTAAGATCAGAATCTGCTGTTGAAGTCTACCTTCCTCATGGGGAACAGTTCTTTAGAAACAACAGGTCCTTCACACATTACATTTAAAATTAGACATTCTCTTGAAAGCATTTGAAGTAATGTTTTAGCACGTACTGAGAGAAGACTGATCCCGAGATTGCCAGGAAGATCTCTGTGGCCATCAGTCATGAGCGCAGGCAGACCACGGGGTCCTGGCGAGCTCACGCCTGCAACGGTCAGGACAGGATCTCATCAGGGGGACCGTCTCTAAGGGACATCGGCTATTGAGCCGAGCTCTAATAACTCAAGACATCTTTAACAATAAGTAATAAAAGATACATCATCCTATATGCTAGATAGATACAGGTGATCTGCAATATACAGTGAAAAACCATATCCAGAAAGTATGAGAAAGAAGAGGGAAAAATATGAAAGACTTTTAATTTAAAAGTTTTCTTTTTTTTTTTTTTCCTCTCCCGTTTGTCCATGTTAGCTTAAATATCTTTTGAGAAGCAGACTCAGAGCAGGGATGGGTTTTAACCCTGCCTGGAGGCTGCTGTGAGAACATAACACCAGTGAAGAACTGGAGTAGAACATAATTCAGGAAAGCAAATGGCCTGATTTTAACTTTGCACCGAGTCCCATTAATTCCAGAGTATTCCTGGAGGAACAATTCACATGCCTGTAAACACATCTGCTTACCCAGCTCTCCTGTGGTGAAAGAAGGTCTAAGATACCATTTCTCCTTACACAGTCCCTTCTGTACCATATATCCTTATGCCATTCTATCTACAGGATACTTCTTTCAAGTTAGACACATGATTAACTACTTTGTTAAGCAGTCTGTTTAAATGAATACACATAGTGTTTATTCATGTCCTTGCTAGCTGAATATAACCCACAGCAGCATAAAGTGAAAGGCAACTTCCAGCAAAACTGAGGGAAAATTTACAGAGCATTTTTAAACAAAACACGTTCATATCCGTTATTTAAACTCTATTTACCAACAGGCCATGGGACAGACAGACTCTTTTCTTGCTTTACTTTTTGATGTACTTTACATTCCTATCAGTTGAAAAATCATGCTTGTTTTTGAACATGCAGACTTCTATAAGTCACAGGTTATTCCATGGACCATTTTTAATATATACCATCTATTTCCTTTTCAGAACATGTCTGAAAATGACATCCAGAAATTTCCCAAACTGAGAGTGCCGTAAGTAAATCCAAATTGAAATAATATTAAAAATTAGCTTAGTTGTTCTTCAGGGAAAACTCATAGTAAGCATCAGCCAAATGATGTGAACTGCTGAGTTACAGACCTGTTTATTGCACTTTACCGGGGGAAGAGGAAGGAGCACTGCTGTGGCTGCTCAAGCACAATGATACAATACATTAAAACTGCCTGGGGATGTTCAAAATAGCTGGTCTTACCTCATTCCTATTCAAAATCTTGTTTGACTGACAGCAGCTATACCCAGGCTAAGCTAGTTTGGGAGCTTTATATCAGAGTACAGTTTTACTGTTCACTGCTTAACTGTTGACTTTCACTCCAAGGAAAAACACATCAGCTATGTGTACAAGGGAGTTCAAGCATTTTTCACCACATGCTTTTCATTTTAGGTAGGCATTAAAAATAAATCAGACTTGAGCTTCTGATTCCCTGCTGGATAGCTCCCTTGGCACCTGTGGATTAAGGTTTAAAAAAGTTTTGAACTAATCGGAATAGTTTTCTTAATTTCATAGCAAGTTATTCTTGAAGAACAACATTCCCATTAAGTTAAAATTATCAGAGAATTATCAGAGAACTTCTAATATTTCACGGTGAAAGGGGAAATTGATTTTGCTTTGAATCTCATAGCGTGCATTTAAGCTGCATCTGTGGTGATCCAGGAAATGTTCTAGCCAAGGAGATGTTCATCTCTCATCCTCAGAGTTACCACACGCTGCAGACATTTAAGGAGCAGCCACATTTGAGTATTGGTAAAAATACCTAGCACATATTTTTTCACACTGTATAATTAAAATAAATAATTGCTGCATCAGCTTTAGAGGCTGAGTTATCCTAAGTGTAGCTGTCATCCTAAAATAAGAGATAGAACAGAAGCTGAGCTAGCAATTAGTCCAGTTTGTTATTACTAGCTTTGCTCAGAGGTGCTTGTTTTCTTCAGATATACCCTGTGCTTATTAGCACTTGGCATTTTTGTAACATGTTAAATGCATGTTCAGAGCCCGCAAACACAGCAGTGCCCCAGAGTCATGCTGCTTCCAGGCCAAGCAGTGAACCCAAAATTTAAGCAATCTGTATTGACCCTTTCTTTTTAAAATGTGTTCCTTGGCCTTTGGTGGGTGTGTGTGCACACGTGCTTTCCAGAGTTGGATGGTAGAGGAGGATGTTAGAATTTAGCTGAAACTCAGTCAGTTTGGGATTGAGCATTGCAGCGCTGCATCTACCCAGCAGACTTTTGTCAAAGGCTGAAACAGGGCAGGATTGATCCCACACTGCTCCTGTTCAAGACCGTGTCCAAGACGCACAGTTTCCTGGTCCTAGCATCTCTTAACTCCCTTGTCCCCGTAGCCGTAGGAGCATGTTTCCCTTTAAGCAAACAGAAGCCAGTTTTGGCTACTGCTTTGGGTTGGTGCCTCCGCAACCTCCCTTTTTTTTTTTCTCTTTTCAACTTCCTGACAGTTTTAAGCAGTGTCTGGTGGAGGAGGCAGAAAGAGAAAGAGAAGTCTGAACAACATTTTCTGCAAGTGCTGTTGCACAGCCTTATCCTGCCCTATCATCCACTCCCACAGCTCGCAGAGCAGTGTGGTTTTGGTACTTCCTTCCTCACCAAGGTCAGGCCTTGCCTCTCAGTGCACGAATCTTCTGTATTGACACTGCCTGCGAAGAGCCACCACACTACACTCTAACACTAAGCTAAACTTTCTTTTTTTCTAATATATTCCCTGCTTTGAATCATTTTAAATAACCTTGAAGTGAAAAGATTAGATATCCTGTTTTAAAGAACAAATGATTATTTTTTTAGCAGTGGGATAAGATCAGCAAACTTTGTCCTTTCAATTTTTCCTCAGACTTCTTAATTTCACAGTTGGTACAAATCCCTACAGCAGCCAGTCCCAGTTTAGTGCAGAAAGCTTCCAAATACACAAGTCAATGGAGTTCTGAACTAAAAGAACTTCTAGTCTCACTTTTACTTTGCTTCTTTAGCTGATAATAAACACACCATTATGAAAGGCCCTTTCTCACCCTCTGGTACAATAGAGAACTTGCCACACAAGTTCCTTAATCTACTTCTTAACCAAAGTGCGGCTCTACACAGTGCGTGCTTCACCTCTGAATATTCACCATGGAATTTGTGTTATTCAGAGAACTAGAGGAGAAAAATGGACACAGCAACTTCCTTATCAGTTACAACAGAAGGAAATTCTTGTGCAGTTGAGTCCGGATGGATCGTATGGGCAAGAAGAGCCCTATGCCTATAACCCAACATTTTTCTTACTTTATAGAATATGCTTGGTTAGGGATGCCAGATTAAACAACTGCAATTCATCTTAAATTATCAACCTTAAATTATAACCCTTTGCTTATTCCGAAATAGTAAAATATGACATCTGCTCTAAATCAGAAGACCCAAAGTGCTGTCTTAAAAACTAAAAATATTAAGTTCTTCCTCTGACTTTCTATTTTCATACCTGGATCCTTGAATACATGCTCTTAACTTCATATCCACATTAATAATTTTCAGACAGTGTCATCATATTGATCTGAAATTGCTTCTTATCTCGCATTTGTTGGTAACGTGATCTGACTTTCCATAATCAGACAGAGCACCCCCCCTGCCTTAAATTTATCTTGAATCTGAATTACATTGCATTAAGTATTAGGAAAGTAACAAGGGCAAGGGGAGGCATATTCAAAATATGAAGAAGACATTTAGAGTGGTACAGGATAAAAAATTTTGTTTGTTTTAATATTGTAATCTGTGAAAAATTGCTCTGCTCATATCCTTAGCCAGGGAACAGGCCCAGTTAGATATGGAAGAGACTCACAAATGAGATAATTTGGAAAAAAAAAATAGGGGATGGTTGTTGCTGAGTAGCTGAAAAAGGTATAAACAAGAAGAAATTAAAAAGGAACTTCCAACTACCTGGCAATTGCCTGTCTGTAAGAAAAGATTTTATAATACTGCTATAAATTTAGTCAGTTGGATTGGATCTATGGAATAAATGCTGCACAAACAAGAAAGTTAAGTTTTTACAGAATTTAGAACCTGATGTAAACAGACATCTTCAGTTCCTGACTGTCTTTGGTGACATTTTTATTTTTACTGTTCCCATGTCCGGTAGCCCTAAGTAATACAAGCCAGGAATAAAATAGGGTATTTTTACCGTGCAGTTAACTTGTTTTAGGTGCCACCGGACTTTCTCAGTGGGACTTTCCTCACAAACGAAGAGTAAGAATTAAGAATCAGATCATGACTCATCATAAGGTTCCTTTGAAGCCAAAGCTTTCTTTGAAACAAAATAATGGTAGATGTCGACGTACAGACTTAATCCTGCTGACGCCAGTAATGACTGTGCCCCACGTGCTCCGTGTTCCCCGAGGTCAGTGACCACCAAGTCCTCACGCGCAGGCTCGAGCGAGGCCGGCGCTCACAGCAGCCCGAGCAGAGTGTTTGGAGCTCTGCACTGACCTTCCTCTCAAGTCCATGTTCTCCTGACTGCCACTCACATCCCTGTCGCACATCAGCCACGTGGCAGCGATGACAAACATGGGCCTGCAGAAATCATGCTAGACAAAGCTGTAATCTCCCTGTGTTCCCTGAGTGTTTCTGCCCTTCCCTGCAAATGCAATATAACATGAAGCAAAATCTCTTCTCCTCCCATTATTTAATGGTGCGCCCAAAGCACTAGGATTTAAAGCAGCCTTCTAGTGCAGTGTCTCCTGCACCCAGAATTTTTAAGGTTAGCTGCTTTCAGTGCAGATTTTTAAACTTGTTCCAAGTATGTAAGTTTTTATCTGTGTTTAAAAGGTTCAGTTTTCAATAAAATAGGCTATGTTGCAACTTTACAATAAAAATCAAGTATCCTTGCCGCATCGTCAATAGTAATTCTGAATCACTAGACATTAATTAGCAAAAATTGAGACAAAAGAGGAGGAAAGCAGAAGAGCAAGCAAACTGAGTGACAATTTACAAGAAGCTTATGTTTTTCATTTTCTTTTCTTTTTTTTTCTCTTTTTTTAAAATTATTTTTGGGTTTCTTTTATACAGCATTATAAGTAAATTAAGCCAGGAAATTAACCGAAATGAAGGAAGATTATCATTCTTTCCAAAAAGGTAGGTGAAAAAAAAAGGCTTCTTTTTCAGTGCTTTCAGATATATGTTTGTTCCTGACTCTTTTCCCTTTGATCAACAATTCCTGGGTCATAGGGACCATATGCTGGAAAGCATATAAAACAGAATTCCGTGCTGTTACCATTATCTATCAAGAATAGCAAAGCCCGCGTCCACGAGCAACCTGTATACTTCTGCCATGTCCAGAAACAAGTAGCACATTTAAAACAACTTTCATCTTTGTAAATTATCTTTACGAATGTTATAAAGCCAGACACCTCATTGATTGCCTCAGTGAATCATCGTTAGTGCATTTTACAGACCTATATATTGTGATGCTCTTCTTTGTACTACTTTACATACAATATCTTTGAATGCAGTGTCTTGACAATAGAAAAATATTGAAAAATGCAGTAACATTGATTCTTTTGGGTGGACTTTTGAAATAATAATAAAAAGGATACTTCATATTCATGTAGAATGATGATCTAAGCTATAATATGATTTTACATCCCCCTATAACATAGTTTTGCACCCTTGCATTTAACAAGACAGTTCAAAACGAGAACTGAAAACCATAAAACTATTTGCGAATCCCACAGGTATTTATGGAGTTAGTTTGTCACCAGCTCCAGGGGAAATCATAAAGCGAGGGGTTCTCTTCAGGACTGGACCCCTGGCAAGCTTATTTACCAAGTCCCCTTGTTTCCAAGCGCTCTGCCTCACTGACTTGAAACCTTTTCCAGACAGCTTAGGCTGCATTAAGGTCCTGTACCTGAAGTATCAGGCAGTGTGTTTTTAGCAGTTTGGGCAGAGTTAAGTTCATCTACATAAATTTAGTTTTACTGTTAATGCTATACATGCCATAGATTTTAATACACATGTACATTTACATTACAAAAGCTCGTATGAACTAATTTGTTTGTATCTTTGTTGCAGGGCCCAAACGCAAAAGTTTCCTGAAAACCCAGGTAAGTGTGTACTGGCAGGTTGTTTATAACTACTAATACTGCTTAAAAATATTAAGATATTAAAGTTAGTCCTTGCAATGTTTACATTCAGTGTCATTGCTATGACTTACATCAGCAATTGTTATAAACTTTGATTTTTTCACTTACCTTCGATTGCTGTCTAGAACAGAGTATCAGCAATAACTCTGCTAGGATAGGAAGCCTTTTCCAAACTTCCAAGACTAACTGCAGATAAATGAGCTAGATTAGTATTTCCAGTGGATATAGAATCCAGCTTCCATACTCTGACATTTCCAGCCTCTGGGACCCATCACCTTCCTTCAGAAGATGGGGAGACAGCCCACTAACTCGCTTGGTTAAACTGGTTAAACCCGCTTTGGATATGGAGAGAGATCTCTGTGCCAGGATTTCTTTACTTTGAAATCAAACACACACACTGGTCAGGAGTTCAATAAAAGGTTTTGTCTTAAAACTTTAAGTGCAGCAGCTTTATCAGTAATTATTCAAGAGAGAGAGAAGTGCTCTGGTATTTAGTGTAGCTGGAGATTAACCCAAATCACCCCTTGTCTACTGAACTGAGTAACACGGGGCGCGCATTTCATATGGATCACTCACCATCATAAGAACAACTGCAGAATGTGTGAGAAAAGGTAAATAGTAGTAAAGAACAGCAGTATACAAGCTCCCCCCCAAAAAAAAAGGCAGATAGCAAACAATAAAAAGATGTTAATGCAAGGCAAGAGCAGACACTTAAATGAAAATTCCCTTAATGCCTTTGTTTAACCTCATACTCAGTGCTCATATATTTCTGTTCCCCCTGCATCTAATGCCTCCAACATTAGGAATGTGTTTCCAGATGCTTCCTTATACTTAATTTTTATTTAAATTATTTCTTAATGAGCCAAGAGCACTTATATTTCTGCAAGATACCACTCTCCCCCAGTCCTGTTGAAATTCAAAAGAAAATCCTCCTTCAGATTTGAAACTATAATAGCATTAAACAAAGAGGGAAAAAGTTTGACTTCATTCTCAAAACATTCTACTTGCAGTGGTATTAAAAGCTGGAACATGAGGACAAATGTAAACTGAAAGCACATATATAACATTTTTTTAAAAAATTGCTCTACTCTTACTTTTGAAATGATGTTTTTCCTAATATATTTCATGAAGTCAAGTCCTGCCTTTGTTCAGCACGCAGGCCTTGTGCCTGAGACCTAGTATCATGGCTTGTCAGTGATTCGGAATGCGTTGTGCCCTTTTTGTCCAGCTGCTTTCTGATATATCAAAGTTGTTCATGCTAAGGAACCTGTGGTTGTTTCCTTGTGCAGGATATAGTCAAGAAGAAGATGATGACTGGTCTTCATTTGTAAGTACCAGGATGAAAAACACCTGTAGATAAACAGATTGCCCATTACATGGGTGTAAGGCTCGGGAAAAGGAGGAGGAACACGACTGAGTGGGGCCATTGCCAGCTCCTTCCCAGAGAACAGGGCAACCAGGAACACAAGCCAGAGCTCCACAACGGCAGCCTGTAGCACTGCCTCGAGTGCAGCCTCAGCTTATGACCAGCTCTTCCAGGAGCCACAGCTGTACTTCATACTCCTGCTCCAAGCTCTTAGGAGCGGTTGGTAAAGGAAAGATTGCACTGTCGTTCAGTGGCAGATCTTGCTATTTTGTTTGCGGTTTTACATTTTAAAGAAGCCAATTCCTTAAAGCTGACTAGGCAGACAAAATACTTAGTGCCTTCAGGCACACAAAATGCATCAGGAATTGTAGTTAGGTCAGGCACGCAGCCTCAGCTTGCTGCATGAGTAACTGCACTGTTACATAGTCTGGTTTGTGAAAATCTCTCTTATCTACCAGTGCCAATGGTAGTTTTTTGCAAGAATGTAGTGAGAAGGATTTTTAGAAAGCACTTACTGCTAAGTTTGCAGTTTTACTGCTATTTCAGGAACACCAGCAGCACAAGCAGCAGCCTGTAAAACACCTGAGCTAGTCTGGAACCATTTTACTAAACCTTCCATGCTGTATGAAGTTGCTTTCACTCTGGTTAGCAGAGGGCATCAAGACCCCTGTTTCTGAAGTGCTTTCAAGTAGTTGAGCTCTATGCTGAAGAGTGTTCTATTAAGTACTATTAAGTGTGTATTAAGAGCTATGAATTAGTGCTCCAGGATTCTTCCAGGAAGCTCTGAATTCTTTGCTGCCACCTTAGCTCGAGGCACTGCATCTTCCCTGGTGGATACCTCAAAATGATGGAGATGGGAATGATGTAAATCTAACAGAAATGAAACATTTCCATAAGCTAGCACTTTAACTTGAACTTCCAGTACAGTTGCTGTTATAAAGTGATAATCATTTTCTCTATGCATCATAACACGCTGTCTTATTTACCCACCTCGTTTCAACAGATACTTTTCTTCTATCCAAAATGGTTTTAAAAATTTGATACCCTCCAGAGTAAAAAAATACTGTAATAAAAATAGCCCTGAGGTGTTTAATGCCCCGTGACAGTACCCATGCTTTATGTGCGCTGGCCAGGATGAAGATGATGACTATGAAAGCCCCGATGATGATCAGGAAAAGGAAGAGGAGGCTGACTATGAATCACCCACGGAAGAGCCCGAGGAAGCAGAACACGACAGCGATGGCTATGAGCCGCCTCCATCCAACGACGAAGCACACCACAATGTCATATTTCCTGCCAAATCACTTGCAAACAACACGGATTATATAGGTAATTACTACAAAGTAATTGTTATTAATAACAATTATGATGTATTATATTATTATAATATATGTATTAAATTACAAACGATGAGTAAAAAATGGCTTTGGAAAAAGAGTGAAAGAGTATTTGAAGTGACTAATATCAAAACATAGTCAACAATCCGTTCATGACGAAGATTTAGTAACACAGATTTACTGCATATTGGTGGCCTTGTGACTTTTGAGGTTAAATTTACTGCTTCAGACCAGCTCTGTTTGTTTGAAGATTTGTTTCTCTCTGATGTATGCATTAAATAGCCTTTCATTTGGAACAAGCACATGTACCTACTGTATTAGCTTTAGAAGCTGTCCCTTCCACAGTGAACTGTCACAGCAGCTGTGACAAAAGGCTCTAGAGAAAAGCAGCTTCTTGGCTTGCCGTTTTGTGCGTGCGATGCTCCCGGAGCCTCCGGCTGTGGAGTCAAACCAGCCTCCCCACCAGAGGCCACACACGCCTTGACTGCCAAGAGGACACCCAGTATAAAGCAGTTCTCTACTATGAACCAATTAGTGTCCTAACGATGTATTAACTTAATTATGTTCACTACATAATTAATTATGTTCACTACTTTGCTACCTTCCGTACTTTGTGGACGTACCATGCTTACTACCAGGCCTTTTGTCCAAAAATGAGTATAAAATAACCGAGTTGTTCGAATCCTGGTTTAGTTTGTGCTTTTTGTTTTCTTTAGACAGACCTTCAACAGCCAGATCATCAAATCAGCCTCCGGTGCCACCACAGCGACCTGTACCAGCCCCGCCTGGGGGAAGAGCTGCTCCTGTACGTTTCACTGTTCCTATTTCATCCGTTTTCTCTGCTGATTGCTCCTAGGAGGTCCAAGTGTAACACCATTTTTGGTCAGATTGCTTATGTAGAGGAAGGAAAAATTGTTTCAGCTGTTAAAATATACGACCTCTCTTACAGGGTAGTCTTCTTTTAAAGAAGTATATCAAATTTTCATGGGGGAAAAATATATTAAATTATTTCCATATTACTTTGCTCTTTCTTACACTGAAAATTTATACCACTTAAGAATGTCTCTCCCATTTAAATATAGATTTTAATAGATTGCTCGGTGTTTCTTTAGTGATATAGCTGGGGGAAAAAAACAAGTCAAATTTTCAAAGCCCTAAATGACATATGCATTTTTCCCCCACTTTTTTTTTCCCGGTTAAAACTTAAAAACTGAAAGCTTTTGTGCCACTTACTGACAACACAGAGTTACTGTGCCAGCAAAGATAGACATGATGTCTAACCACGCACAAAAGTAAAGATAATTTTTAGATGCAATAGCAGGACTTGGAGCTTGACCCTGCGCACTGGTTCTTAGGCCTGGGTGTCATGAGTTCTTAAGTCAGCTGTTCTGCATTGCTGCTCTGTTACTTGCAACAAGAAGGAACATTCAAAGGCATTTGTCTGAAAAAATCTGAGACGAGAACATCCTCACCATTTTTGCAGACCTGTTTGACCCAGGCCTACCAAGAAGAAAGAAAAGCTCTTTCTCCACCAGTCAGCAGGTTTGATACAGGATTAATGCATATTTCTCAAGTTCAAATTTACATCCACTAATTTCAACATCCGATTGCAAAACTAACGTCTGCTGCACTGAAGGGGCAAAGACACCAGAGCGCTCTAGAAGTTCCTTTCTGTTTCCTTTCCCATGCCCATGCCCTTCCCAGAGCGAACATCCTGCTACCGTATTCCCTGCGGGATGAAAGGACAGAGCTAATTCTGCACCTGACAAAAAAAAAACATCTGTGTGTAGCTCTTCCTGCTTTCTGTAGACATATTCTCTGTGCTTTACCAGGCACAAAGATTGACAGCTAAGGTGTGACATATTTAATAAATACTAAAAATTAATACAAAAAAACACGGCAAACTTTAATCCCATGTGAAATACTTGTTTTAGCTGCCACCCTTTCCTTCTCCATTAAGCAACAGTGACTTGAACAGAGACAGAAATATCAAGCCTCCAAAACGTAAGTAGAGCCAGTTTCATTTACTTAAAGCTTTTTCTCTGGGTTCTGTAATGCTTCACTTTTGCCAACATCTCTTCAGTTCCACCTTCTTCTGCTAATTATTTGTATGTCCTACACCTGTGCAACCCTGAACTGGTGTTACATCTTAGAATAACAACCAGTACAAAGCCTTATTGACCCATGCCGGTATGTGATTTTTGCATTTTGTGTGTTTAGCCCCAGCTCCTTCCATAGACAGAAGCACAAAACCCTCCCTGGATCGTCCTGCTCCACCGTTGGAAAGAGAAAGCCCAGTATCAGGTCAGCATTTGCTCATGGTAACCAGCAGCTGTTTGTTGCTCAGAATTATCAGTTTGAATATCATTTGTGCACAAGGACAAGGCCCAGCTGAATGTGCCACAACCCAACCACAAACAAGGTGATCTATTTAGGAAAGGCAACGTGAACAATGCTTATAGAGTGAGGGGAATTCTACCTGGAAAGCAGCCACCCCGAAAACGGCTCTGGACTACTTGAAGAGAAAGAGATTATGAGATACTTATTTGAATAGAATGCTTAATGTAATCTCTAAGTGAATGAACAAAGGAATATTTAGTAGGTTAAAAAAGGCAATAATTACTTTTGCCTACAGAGTTCACAAAAGTCTGTTTACAATAAGATATACAATTTGGTATCCACACTTCTAAAAGAATGCTGAGAACTGCAAATTAACAGAAAGAAGAATGATATGTGTTTCAGACTAGTACACAATATTTTACAATGAATCTCAATAGACTACTCTGTGATTTCTTTGAAGCATCTAAACTCTCTTATCTCATATATAATTGCATAAAAGGATCCAATAACTCCAAGTTGAAGGGTGGAAAATACGATTGTAAAACATGCCACTTGAAAAACTCTTTGATTAATTTTTCTGATGCTTTACTAGGAGAAAAGCTATCTTTTCACCACTCTTAAAACCAAAATCTCTTTTTCTGGTTTGTATCTCAGGAAGTTGAATGCTTCAAACTGAAACATTCACTTTCAATGTTACTAAATTACCAGTTAATAACTTGTCTGTTTTATGGAAAGTCTGACTAATTATCTTAAGCTTCGGTTTTTTTTCTAAATATAAGTTTTCACTCTTTTTAGGAAGGAAGACAAGCTTTCCTGAAAAGGTATGGACTTCCTTGTTTGATGCTTCTTTGATACTTTTTTTAAAACCTATTTTGATACACTTAAGCATTCTTTTGACCTTTCCTTTACAGCCTCTGACTCCACAACTAAGGTGAGAGTTTTGCCCTCTGAATAGATACTGTCAATATTAGCCAGTTGTTTCCTATTAAGCAGCCTTTTACCTCTATTTTGTCACTCCTGCCTTAGGTCCCTGGGGGAGCAGCTAGCAATGATGCCAAAGCCTCCTGTCCCACCAAGTGATAGACATGAAAGAGCCAATCCATCTCCCTTAAGAAAGCAACACCCTCAACACGCTGTTAAGTAAGTACTTACAGTTCATTTAATGGAAATTTAATGAAAATCTAAATAAGCAACATGGAATATTATTCTGCATTACAGCAGGGCCTGCAGAAATCAGAGGGCTGTAAGAATTTTTACAAACAGCTCTCGCTCCAGCCCTGTCTCATACACGCATCACATATAGCACAACTCACTTCCAAGTGACAAAGACATAAGTGAACCACAGTTTCTTTGATGAAATCAAGTTCTTGCATTAGGGGATAGTCTTTCATGAAACCTACTGCCATTCTTTGGTAGGACTTTAGGAACGTTTACTTTCCTACTGTTGATTTTGCTACCCTGCAAAACAGCAAACAGTTAACAGTAAACAGCATTCTCTAGTACGAGTAGATAATTCTCTAGATAACTTGTGGGCTGAACAATGTGACTGATTTTAAAGCAAAATGGAAGAGAGTAATTGCCATCTTTCAGTCAGGCAAGATACTTTTTCAGAAAAAAAAAAAAAGGCTAGAAGGCTCATCACATGCTACCAAGTACCACAGATGAGTTTAAGACTTGAAGTCTAATGTTACATCAGAGTCTAAGCTCCAATCTTTTGATAAAATAATCAGACATTTTATTTGTCTAGGATCATTTATTTTGTCATAGGATCAAGACAAGCTAAAGGCTTATCTTCAGGTTGTGCAGTTTAGATTACGGTCAAAAAAAAATCAGAATCTTTCATATGCTTATAAGTAGAAAAAAAAGCTGCTGCATTCATATGGGACTGTAATACTTACCATAACCTCACATCTTTGTTGAAAATACTGCCTAATGAACACCATATTCCATCTATGGAATTCCAACACAGTAATATTCCATCTATGACCCACATTTTGTTTTCTCTGTTTCATTTTAGGCAGGGTTGGCCACCACAGAAAAAGTCTGAGGTAAGTATATTTTTGAAAGCAAATATGTAGAAGAAAAGTCACTGCAATGAAACAAAATATTTGCATAAACTAATAATTCTGGAAGAGGTAAACTAGTTTCTTTTGTCAGTTATAATGAATAGAAGTAGATCTCTCATGGCACATTGTTTCTTTTTAAATCAGTTCCTCTAGATCAAGCTCAGTTTATTCCCCAATTACTTAATTTCAGACAATAGGGAAAATAAGGCCAGCATTTTTATGACACAAGAGAGGTGATTTTGTTTACACCTTTTTTTTTTTTTTTTTTCCAAGTTTAAGCTGCCCAGGAAATTAATTTTTAGATAACTGTGAGCACATACACTTAAGCTTAAGGAATGAGGAAAGATAACATCTGCTTCTAAATACTGGGGGTCAGAACCCCAGTGGCAGACAGCTGTCTCACCACTTATTTGTAAATAAGAACTGTGCTATAATAAGTTGCTAATGTTTGTTTCTTTTGCCTCCCCAGGAAGAAGACGAGAGTAAGTATTTCTGCAGTGACTTTAAAAACCTAAAGTCTTTATTTGTGTAAATACTTTTTAAAAAATTATTTGTTCAGAGACATTTTAAAAAATCAGGTGAGCCAAGCTGCAGAAAGCTTACAAAATTCCTCCTGCAGATATATCCAACAAAGCCACAAAGCAGGAGAAATCAATAGCTGATCACATCTTCCCATCATTCTGTTACAATACAGCAGGATTTCTTGTTTTGAAAAGCATTGTGCTGTAGAGACCTGTGTTTTTACACAGCATCGAATAGCTAAACTTACACTAAAGTTCTCAGATCATTTGAGGCTACATTCCATAACTAACTTATCCAGGACTTCTGAAATAACAGCTTACTCAGTTACACTGATCTAATAAAAGTGCAATAGTAAGACAGCATTTCTTTATTCAATCTCATTTAAGAATGTGTTATAAGTTTTACGTCTTTTTCTCTTCCTCTCCACAGCTGCACCCCAAAGGCCAGTGCCACAGCTGTCTTTACCCCCTTTCAGCTCCAACACGTTCCCTTCGAGATCTATGAAGCCTCCACCGAAGCCAGGATACAACAGTATGCCTGGTGCAGAAAGGTTTGTTTCAGCCATTAGTATCCTTCATTTTGAATCTGGCTCTGAATTAATTTGTTATTTAGACAATTATTGGCTATGTGACGTAATGGAGTGCTCAGGATTACATAGAACATAGGATTTCTACTCTAGGAAGTCGATTACTTTTAAAGCTAGGTCCCACTCCATGCCAATTTGAGTGGTTCCCATTATCAAGGAAAATTCTTAATACAACTGAAGCTCTGTATTCAGTAAATAATATAATAATGGAAGTGAGACAGGCAATCCCATAAATGCACCTCTCAGTTTTATGTCAATGAAGTATTTTAAGGTCTATATGATGTTTTTATAACATATCAATTTTTAAGATATCACTTTCTCCCATCTTTTATCTGCAGAGTGTATTAGTATGGCAAGGTCTTTTGGGAAGGGACCATCTTTTCCTATAGATTTATGCAGCATGTAATTCAAAAGTTTCTGACTTAAAAGGGGCCTGCACACTGCAGAGGATTAAGTGCTAGAACTGCGACTAACGATTGAATCAGAACTTAAAAAAAAAAAAAAAAAACAACCAAAAAAACCCACATAACTTAGTTGTCTACAGTTGACTATCTGAACCAATTTCACCACTCTGTGACTAAATTATCCTAATGGTTAGCAATTCCTATTTTAATTTGTGAACTTGGTTTCAAATAGGCATTTTTCTAGCTTTGACTTGCAAATATTAGATTGCTTTGTCTTCATTTGCTAAAATGAAGAGCTCTTAGTTAAATTTTGATTCCTGTCATAGTGAGCAAAGACTTAGTCTTTGATAAGTTAGTGGGCTCCCTGAGTCTATGAAAAACACACCTTTTAAATCTCTGCATTTTAAGTGGCTCTGATTAACCCCTCCCATTTACCAACATCCTTTGGAAGTGATGACACCCAAGGAGCAATAGCAAGGTCATATGCAAATACATAACTGTCCCCATGATGAGCACTTCTGATTGCTTTCTAACATTCACTGCCATGTTTGTCTCTAGCATTTGAAGTTCATATTTGGCTTATTCTCTGCCATAAACTACAAGTTACGACCAGTGCCCCTGTTCTGCCAGTCTAATCAGCATATTGACCCCAAAGCCTCCTGTGCAGGAAAAAAAAAAAAAAAAAAAGATAGGACTTGTCAGGTCATAAGAAGAGATGGGATTGTAAATTTTCTAACAAAAAGGAGAAAAAAGGAAGCACAAGAGAGAAAAGTAAACCATGTACAGGCACACAAAAGTGTTTTGATGCCACTGCCAGTTCAGAGCTGAACATTTATGATTAGAAGCTGCATTTTCATCACTGCTGTTAAAGAGAGCACATGAGAAGCCAGTATATAACAAGAAACCCAATCTGTGAAGCTGCTCCCTATGTTTCTGCTTTAGGAGAATAATACATTCAATCCTGGTGGGAAGGCAACAAGCTTTATTAATTTCCTTTATTTATCCCACTACAGAAGTACTGGTGGCCCCTTACTGATTCCCTCTACCTTATTCCCACACATAAAGCTTACAGTAAACTTGAAACCACACCTACTTACCACATAGATTTCCATAATTATTGGCCTGAAAAAGACCTAACAGTCTGCAGAACAGGCACAAAGTGCAGATCAGTTCAGAGTACATGCACCTTGTTAGCAACACTGTATTGTTTATACTGTCTGTTGTTTGTTTTTAACAGTGCTAGCTGCCTGTCTTCCAGTGGCTCACTGCCACCGCGCTTCCAGCTAGGTGGGTATCCCTTTTACGTGTAAATCATAACTGGAGGCTCAGCAGCCATTTCAGTTCAGTTAATATAATCTTTTCTTCTACAGAGGTTTCTGGTTGGACTGTGGACAGCAAACTATCAGGAGTTACTGAAAGACACTTTGCTTAATCTGATTAGCTGAAGTTAGGAGGGTTTTGTCACATGAAGCTTGGTTTTATCATTTAGTTTAACTATTGCCAGAACCTCCTTTACATGCATTTTTCCACTCAGCCACGACTACCGAGTCCTGAGCAACACTACCTGCAAGTCACTGAAGTGTCTAAATACTCTTGACAAAGTAAAATGTTTCCCGTGTGAAATTCAATGCCTTAGTTGCATATGTAGCTTAAAATAATCAGTCAAAAATCAGGCAAGCGTAGAAATCTTTTTGCTTTGCAAAGGGAAGTTTTGCATTTGGTCACAGCTGCCAGTGTGTTACAGTGACAGTTAGTTTCTGCTTACTAAGATGGCAAGGAACGCAGAGACCCTGCGTTACATGTAATTATTTTTAGAGTAAGTAAAGATCTCTCAACCTAAAAAGGTGGTATAGAAACTAAAATGATGTAATTGTCTTTCAAACTCTCAACCTTCAACCACAAGAGTTTGGTAGAAGTCTTTGTGTACCACGAACAAGCTTTTGTAAAGAACCCTGTTCTCACACAATAGCCTAAACTTAATTTCAAATCAGTTCAAACTGTCTCAGTATCAGACTGCCAGAAATTGCCCAGGCCTCTCAGAATCAGGATTTTAGGGTGTATGTTGGTATTGCTCCCCAGCTGTTTTTAATATTTTTCTACTTTTATGTTATAATTTCAAAGGCAACAACCAGAGATCTCCTTCAAGAGGCAAAGCAGATGTAAGGCCTCCATTGCCAGTTCCTAGCAGGCAGACTGTTCACCCACCAAACACAGAGGAAGATGAGGTACAAAGATTTCACAGATATTAACCATAAACACTACACACAGCAAATATTCTGATTTTTAGAGGAACTTTGTTGCAAAGATATTTTTCTAATTACTAACTACTGTCAGGATGTTGGTATTTGCTTTTGGCTTCCTTTCCTAAAGGATCAAATCAAAGAATCAAATTTTACTACTTTATTTTTTCTTCACCAAGAAAAGGAAAAAAAACAGTAGAATAAAATAAATGTTTGTTTGCTGGATTACTTGTTTTGCACACTTGCCTTTGAGCATTAAGAATTCACTTTTCCTTCCACAAAAAACTTGGTGGCTAAAGAATTCAAACTCTAAGCATAGCCCATTTTCACATTTCTGCTCATAGAGTCAGTGCGTAGACTTCACATTCAAATTTCCCTCTACCTATTTGCCTGTTGTCAACATCAGAAGCTAATTTATTGACAGCTGACTTTCTCCTTCATCTTCTCCTGCAAAAACCACAGGACTCACTAAATGATCAATGGTACGTTGCTGATATTAGCCGGCCGGAAGCAGAGGCTGCTCTTCGCAGAATTAACAAGGTACTCTACTACTCTCACCTGCTGGAGGTGCCCAGCCCCTATTTACCTGCCTAGTCACAGGTCTGTGCAGCAATGCGCACAGCGCGAAGGGACGGAACGCACTGAGGGTGTAGGCCCAGTGCGGGCACACAAAGTGGAGGATCCCTTCTTCAAGCCTTTATCCACCTAAAAGTTAGGCGTCCGGCCTAAGCCAGGCATGAAGACAGCTGCTTTCTATAGAAAAATAGAACAACACAGAGACTTCCATGGAATAGTTCCATCTCACCTACCTTAGGAGAGGCATTTGTCACCAGTGGGGAATCTGTTCAGAAGAGCTTTAGAAGTCCAAGTTTTGGACAGCTTGAATTATATGAGATTAATGACTTTTGAACTACATGAGATTAATACCTTTTCTATGCCGTATTTACCTGCAAAATGGAGAAGTAACCCATTATGGTGACAATACCAGTATCTGCCTTTGTCCCACTCATGGTTTATCTGTGACCACTCACAACCCATGCTGTTTATATGTTCAGCATTGCAACAACTTGTACTGTGGTACAGCCTATGAGACCACTTCAGCTGCCTTTAAGAAAGGGTAATGTAATAGAAGATGTGTAAAATCAGACATGAAAGGAAGAAAAACAGGCTGTAACTGTAACATCACTGCCTCTACCAAAGTAACATAGTCACTATCATCATCTTGGGCTGTCTGTAAATAGATCACAGAAGAATCTTGCATGAATAGGCATGAAATTCCCTTCCAGTCAATGTAAAGCTAGTTGTGGCCTCTGACACCAAGATTTCACCCTCCTTCTTTAATGGAATCTCTTCCTCATAAAACACCCTTCCTTTCTTCCCTCCCTAAAATGTCCAAGTGTTTTGGATAGGGAATATTTTAAGTAGCAGACTGAAAAAATGCAGCATTCCAAAGGTGGCCTACA